TCAGAACTGGCTGGCCGGACCATTGCCCGACCAGTCGGTTTGATAATGAAATACGCTTTTTCCGAGAGTTTTTGCCGAATAACCATTTCCTTGGTGCATACTACTTAGGATTTGACTGATATGGCTGGAGAAATTTGAGTAAAATGGAAATTCTCATTGCATTGGGAATAGTTTGGCCGCTCAGTTCTGACAAATGGAAAGCGCCCTTAAATTCAAACCTAGAACTTCCCTTAACACTTCTCTCTAAGAGGGACACTTTTGGGATGGGCACTAGGTGTCCATCTTGGATAATTAAGAAAGAGTTAATTAAGGAAAGTAAAGAAAGGCAGGGACCATCTCTAGGTGTCTGTTTTACCGAGCTGCCTGTCTTTTAGAGATGTCTGTTAAGAGAGAGTCGCCTGTAGTAAAAAATAAAGCATTTTATTTTTTGGAATTTTGCCTGTCAGATTCATGATGTTGCTGAGTTTCTCGGAGGAGACTTGAAAACAAAGAACCAGCATATCTTGGTAGAGTATAAAAAGATTTGCAAGCCGTCATTGTCATCTCCATCGTCAATCCAGTCAGTGAGTGTTCCTTTCAATGAGAACAGCTTGTCATCCAGGCTAGCTCTCCAAGCATCCATCCTCAGTACTTCTCCAGTTTTAAGAGTTAAAAGCTTTGAACATGATAATGGTAAATCTCCTGTTTTTCAAACAAAAGAATCTATGGTCAGAGTTGAAAGCCAACCATGCACAAAGCATTCACTTACCGTTCAAAGTAGATTTCACTTGAGTGCTTCAGATTCGGATCTGAGAAACATAGGACTTGCAGGTAATGTGAAAGGGTATTCTGGATCAGTGGGTAACATGAAGGCAAGCATTGGGTCACCAAATAGCCGACGCCCTCTTCCTCCTCCACCACCTGGTCATGAATCTCTAGTCACTCAGTCCAATTCAAATCATAGATACAGAGCAGGAAGTGTGGATCAGGCACATAGAAAAAGACCTTCAACACCGCGACAGAGGAGAAAGCAAAGTGACAAGGACTTGTACGATTTAGACTCAAGCTCAAGTAGCACTGAACTTGAAGTTTCATTTAACAGTTTTCAAAGACAGCACTCTGCAGATTTCTCTAGTCTCTATCGTCCACAATCACCGCGAGCACCGTCTCCATATGACAGCTCAAGCCGGTTTCGAAGTTATAGTAATGAATCAACGGAAGAGCTAGACAACTCTGATGATGATAGCAATGCACATACTACTGAAAATGTTGAAGTGACAGAACTTCATTTATACATTCTAACGGAAAATTCACCCATGTTTATTCACCTAAGAAGTACATGGAATAATTGCATTTTGGTAAGGTTTTCCATTTTGTCTGTAATTCAGGAAGATACAGTTTATGGGCACAAATTGAGCCCAGAGCGTGGCCCCTGAACGGCCCATTAGCACTACACAAGAAAGAACAAGGGAGGGAAGGGAGTGAATCCCATACATGTCCCCCTTCCTAGGAAATCAATTTTTTATACCATACATCCTCTATTAAGCCCCCGCTCTCAAATAAGCCCCCTCCCTCTTATAATACACGTATTAATAAGCCCCTCTCCCCTCCCCTCCCCTCCCTTAATAATTCTTCACTAATAAATGACAGACTGTATTAATTAATCATGACTGTAAAACTTTGTGTGGAATAATCCAGGATGGGTTATTTACCAAGTGGAAGTTTGGAGTTGATTCTGATCCTCGGCTGCATGACCTAAAAGGTCTTTACTTGAACTTTTCCTCTCTGTATTCTAGTTCTTTATGTAGAACTGATACTATTGTCATCCCTCTCAAATAAGCCCCCCATGTCTATTAATCCCTCCTCAAATGGGCTTTAAATAAATAAGCCCCTCGTGGGGCTCAGATAGAGGACTTATGGTAGTGATTTTAAGACAACAGTCCTTATTAGTACATTTCCTTAAGAAATATTCGCAATGCAAATTGCAATGTGGAAAATATGTTAATTAGCCCATATATTCTGTGAGGCAGTGATTAATTTAGCCTTGCATACTTCAAAATGTATTTTATTTTTAGTATATTGCAGTGAATTTTCAGTATGTACTATGGTCTTCCAATATTCAAAACTAGCATTTTTGTAACTTGTTTCGAAAATGAGCAAGTGAGTAGATATTTGCCTTGAATGAGAGCTTCTCAGTATAATTTATTTCTTTTTGTCAAGCGATTTATAAATTTTCCCATTTTTTTTGTACATCACATTTCTTGAGTACCACATAAAAAAATTATCAATTCTCTTTTCTCTACAGAAATCTACTCTGTATTTTGACCGTCAAAGATCATCACCAGCTACCTCACCCACAGTGCCTTCTAACAAAGTGGACAAGTAGGTCTCACATTGATTTACATCAATACAATAATAAAAATTATTAGTGTTTTGTGGCTCAGTAACAATAACCTTATATAGCAATGACTTACAGGGGTGGATCCATGAAATTTTGATTGGGAAGGGGGGGGGTCCAAGTTTTGGTTCAGAAAGTACTGTTAAACTTTTTTGTGGCAAATTACTTCTCACAGAGACAACCACATGTTTCTCAATCTGTGAACACCGGTCGCCTGCATTGGTGTGGGAAATACTGCTTTGCAAGCAGAGGTGAACAGATCATAGGATGGTACCCAAAAACAATTACATTTTCTAATAACCCTGGAATTTAGTTTAGTGGCAAACTGCAACAGGTGTTTCAAAAATCAGCCAGTTAAAAAGTGATGTTCAACCGTGTTGATGTAAGAATTTCAGTCTCAAACAAGCGTCAGGTCTGATTGGGGAGGGGATCCGGACCCCCGGACCCTCCCCTTGGATTGGCTACCAACTTGCAATGTCAGGGGAACGCACTCTTTCTAATGGGTTCCAAAAGTCCTTTTCTGTCGGCAAGTCATCTGTAGAATGTGTTCTACGTACCTCCAAGGAAATAGGTACGAAACAGGAAGGGTACAGAATGCATTCTGTCTCCAAACAAATGGGTGCAAAATGGGTAGGGATGGGTATGGGATTTGGGTATAGGACAGGTATACAACAGATACAGAACAGATGATGGAATGGAAACTAAACAGGTGTGAAACTTTTCATTTGCTTTCAGAGCCCACAGTTAATTTTGGAAATAACCACAGCCTACAGATTAGTTAATAGTTATCTCTTAGTAGATAAGAGACTTATATCTAGAGCAATGTTAAACTGTGTTTCGTGTGACAGTGTGTTTGTTAAGATTTTCTTCAAAGTAATGTTTAATAAAACAATATTATTAGATTTGGTTTAAGGGTTAGTAGATTTTGTTAAGTGTTATTAAATTCAGCCACGGCTAATAACAGTTACCTCACCCTTGATTTTTCCTCACAAAAACCTCACTCAACAACTGTTGTCTATTATTATTCTAATCAGACTATTTTTCCAAGCTGCTGTTTTTTTCCTGTTGTTTTTTTTTTCTTGTAGTTCTCAGTTGCTTCTCCTGTTCAATCAACTGAAAACTGAAATTCTACACTCTCACATCATGGAAAAGACATTTGTACTTATCCAGGAGCTACAGACAGCTGCAGAAAAGAGCTTTAACCTTAAAAAATATTTCTGGAAGGTATGTTGTCCCTCAATAGTCTACAAACAGTCTACGAACCACGGTTGCACAATTTCGGTAATAGCACATCATTCATCCAATTAAATGACTCACATTTTTCTGTTTTACAATAACTGAGTGAATCCTCGCACACTGATGGTCCAGAGCTATATTCTGTGAGAGTATAGACGATAGAAATTACATAACATGTCATGCATGATTTTCCAAGAAACTTCGCAGGAAACTAAAAATAAAATAATGTTATTGTAAAAAACAAATTGACCACAATTTTCCATATGGTCTGCACTCTTACAGACCATAGAAATGACGCCATAAAATGTTCAAAACTTTGCAGTGAAACCACTCGCCGGCGCTCTCAAGTTTTAAACATTTTATGACATCATTTCTTTGGTCTATAAGACTGCAGACCATGGAAAATTGTGGTCGATTTGTTAATTGTCTCACCTAAAAATTAATAGTTACTTGGTGGGACATACATGTACAGTAATTATGCTATTCAAGGAAGAAAATTCACATGCTGTTTTGGTGTGAATTCAAAGTTAATTGTTTTTCTTGTCTTTTTCTGAAATCGTTTAGGGTTAATTTGCAATTAAAGATGCAATTACCAGTGGCATGATCATATCTGTTCATTTAAATTTGTATTTCCACAGTTCACATCATCTCCATTCCAAGTACCATTTTTAATCATGTAGTGATAAACACTTTTTTTCATTTTCAGTCTTCAGATCTCTTTCTGTTCATGGTCGGCCAACTTCAGAAATATATGCCCCATTCGCCGAGGCGTTCCGCATCTCGAAGAAAAGGAAGCAACAGAGAAGATGAACTTGAGTAAGTGTTTATGTGACGGAAGTCAACATGTACAAGAGAGAATAGCTCTTATGCGTGTTTACGTCAAATGAGCAAATTTCACCACCAAGCCGCGTATTGAAATTGTAAAGTTGCGAAGTTTGCGTAAAAGAATTCCCAAGGCAGCAACTTTGAAAAGAATATCCATGCACAAAGAGTGCAAATGCAGAGTATTTTCCTTGCAAATGAGGCTTGGTGGTGAAATTTGCTCGTCTGACATTGCCATGCATAAGGGCCATTTGATGCAATATACCAGCACTAATCAATTTATTGCCGGTTTTTCATCAGTTTTAAGTTAAATCCGTTGAAACCAATGTAAGCAAAGGTCTCTCACGAAGACAGGAAACTGAGAGGAAGGACAGATTCTCTTTTCTTCCTCTCATTTTTCTCTTGCCATGAGAGACCTGTTTTTAGCAGGGAAACCTCAACCGACTGTAACATACAACTTACTGTACCGTGTGGAGCCACACCCCTTTGTACCACTTGTGACGTCATCAGTTTAGACCGGTATCTTCGATGCCTAAAGGTGATGTTACACGGGCCGATCCGCAACGACGATTTTTAGTACAACACTGCGTTGCAATGTTGGAAGGAATCATGTTGCAACTATTCAAAACAATGACGCAACAATGTTGCTTGGCTGTGTTGCGCTAAAAATCGTCTCGTGCCACATCACCTTAAACATCCATATCTGAATCGATGTGCGCGATTCTGTCAAATAGGCTAGAGACATTTGCACAAAAAATATGCCGTTGCTTTGAATGGAATCATCTTGCCGCACTAACTTTTCTGAAAATATTTTGGGGATCCTTAACGTTTTCGTTAAAAAATCTTGCCACAGTCAAAAAGGAAGGAAAAAGAACATCTAAAAAGATATTCAAAAAGACGAAGAAGAAGAATATAGGCGAAGAAAACAGGCCAAAACGAAAGATAAAAGTCAAGCTTGCAGTGTAACTTTCTTACCCACAAACGTTTCTCTGCATGCCTCAGTTTAGAAAGCACATGCATTAGGAACAAAAACCAACATATTGCCGCACTTATAAAGAACATTTTTGATAATTTGGGCTCTCTTTTGGCCGGAAAAGTGACCAGAACTGAAACGGCTTGACTCGCTTCACGCGGCATTGTTTAGCAAAATTTTCTAGGGGCAAGCGGGTTAAGTTATTTTGTTCAAATCCATCATTTTATTTTTATCATCATTATTATAGTTTTACTGACATGACATGCTGTTTTGTTTACTCTCAGCTTTGTTGTAGTGCTGTTACAGACGTTTGTTTGTTTGTTTCGAGAAACAGATGTCCTATCCACAAGACTGATGGTCATTAAAGATAACAAGTAAGTTGTTTACNAGGAAAAAGAACATCTAAAAAGATATTCAAAAAGACGAAGAAGAAGAATATAGGCGAAGAAAACAGGCCAAAACGAAAGATAAAAGTCAAGCTTGCAGTGTAACTTTCTTACCCACAAACGTTTCTCTGCATGCCTCAGTTTAGAAAGCACATGCATTAGGAACAAAAACCAACATATTGCCGCACTTATAAAGAACATTTTTGATAATTTGGGCTCTCTTTTGGCCGGAAAAGTGACCAGAACTGAAACGGCTTGACTCGCTTCACGCGGCATTGTTTAGCAAAATTTTCTAGGGGCAAGCGGGTTAAGTTATTTTGTTCAAATCCATCATTTTATTTTTATCATCATTATTATAGTTTTACTGACATGACATGCTGTTTTGTTTACTCTCAGCTTTGTTGTAGTGCTGTTACAGACGTTTGTTTGTTTGTTTCGAGAAACAGATGTCCTATCCACAAGACTGATGGTCATTAAAGATAACAAGTAAGTTGTTTACCCGACATTTTTCATTTGCAACATTAGGGCCATTTATACAGGGGAAGTAAGACACGTCTAATATAAGGCGCGTCTCAATTGCAACATTTGTAGATGAGTTGAAATGCGTCTTCGCCAAGTCGCGGTTTTGTAGGACGTAAAGGCAATTTTTGTGCTATTTAAATGAGGCGTCCGCGTCCTACTTATTTCCTTGTATAATTAGCCCTACTTTTTTTCATTACTAGAAAGCTAAAATGTCGACATTTATGAAATTTAAAAAGGGAAATAATATATTTAACAATTATTCTTTAAAATCGAGGTGAATAGTGGCTAAATTTATTCAAAGAGCTGCGAAGCGGCAAGTTAAATACGGACACCTCTATAATACGGACACCTCTCTGTAACGGACAGTTTGTTTGGTCCCAGAAATGCCAAAAATCATACATTCCCTACTCCTATAATACGGACACCTCTGTAAAGCGGACACTTGCTTCTGTCCCTCTGGTGTTCGTATTAAAGAGGTTTGACTGTATTTTGCGATAACCCGAGTTCGATATTGTTTTATCATTCGATCACCGAGTTTGTTTTTTAATGAATATCTTCGGGAAAGGAAGCGTTCTGCCATTTTTCACACAAGAGCGATTCCAAGAAGGAGAAAATCGTGGTTTCATTTACCGATTAGCAGAATATTATTTGCAGCCAAACACTTAAGCCAAACACAGTTGGACGACATTGCGCATGAGCAGACCATTATTTGTAGGCATTTATTTGCAGGTCACGTGGTGGGCTCTCGGCCAGTGAAAAGGAAGAAAAATTTGCATCGAATGCTAATGTAATATTTTTCTTTTCAGGGGTCGTGCAATTAAAGACCTTTTAAAGACCCTCATCATTCATCCATTAACCACAGTCACCCCAACAGGAATGTCTAACATCTCACCCGCTGCACAGCTGCTGCTTTCAGGAGCTGACAGAAACATGTTCACAGTCGGTGAAGGAGATGACGAGGTTTTAAGAACTTGTTCATTTTGATAAAGCTTAATATACACATACGAAAAGTTGATTATTCTTTGACGTGAAACCGTGGATAATAGAAGGACTGATAAATATCCATGGTGAAACTTAACTCCGTTCGACACAGACAGGAAGCCTTGAGCGAACTTGTTTCTTTAAAACATAAACTTGAGTCCTTGAAACGCAAACTTGATTCGTTTCTTCCGATAACAGTGAGAACGAAACGAAAAAAAAAGAAAGCAGTACAAAGTAGCCGCCAAACTGGTTAAGGCAAATGGTTGGCTTACATACGAACGTTTTCCTTTTTCGCTACCTCGCTTCTTTTTGAGCTGATTTGTGTTGTTTTTGTTGAGCTTAAAATTACAAAGAGAGGATATTAATTTTCGAATTCCCGAATACGAAGGTTTGCTATGAAAAAACTAACTTAATATTACCCTGGAAACGTCTGGTTAGATGAAGGCTAATACATGTACTTCAAGGACGATCAAGTTTTGTACTGGGACTCCTTGTCAGTTCTGAACTGAGACTAACCATTGCAATTTCAAATAACTTCACTGCAGAAATTTAAACGTTTTGAGATTAATGAGACCTGCTCTAAAGAACATGCAATAACAAGTACGTAAAAATAAAAAAAAACTGAAAAAATAATGACACCTTAATTTCTGTTTTTGTGTTTTTTCTCATTTTCCTCTGACTGGTTTTAGACGAACAAGCTGTTGACAGAAATTCTGGACAGTGCTACCTCGCTTCTTTTTGAGCTGATTTGTGTCGTCCATCAGGTAAATAAAAAAGTTTTTATCGTCAAACTGGCATTAAATGGATTCAGGATACTTAGTTATGCAGACTGGGGCATGTGGTGCTGTTTGAAATAAGCCGTTCTCTTGGAAAGCGCGCGCGCAAATCCGCGCTGGAACGAGCGACGAAGAATGGGGAAATTTCCTGCGGCTTCCGTGCTCATTCTGGCGTTCTCTCGCCAACAAAATCGCCAGCTACGCTCCAGTTATTTATTTTCCCGTAATTATTCTGATATAAGTAATTGAGATGCACCTAACTCATGGAAATTTTTCCTTTCAGGCCAACTGCTTTTCAGTTGAAGACAATGTTCTAAATATCTTCTGGCTTATGAAGATTCTCGAAGTTCAAGACCAAACAGTAAGTGTCAGTTATGAAATGTTTAGAGTTGATCATCACTTCTTTTAGTGACCAAAATGAAAAGGTGGGGAAAATCACAAGTTTCACTTTGAACAATGTTAAAGAAATGTGAAAGCATCATATGTAAGTACTGCTGAAAAGGGTTCATCTCGATAGTCACACTACTCTAGCCTGGGCGCAAGCTCTCTATCAATTGGGGGATACTGAATTCACGCGCGAGAGGTACGCGAAAGGAGAGGGAGAAGAGTGAGGGGCGGGGAAAGAACCTTTTGTCCGCGCGCGATATATCGCGGATGGCTTCGCTTGCCTTTCAAAATGGAGAGCTTGCTCGCTGGCTTTAGTCACACCATAGTATGTCATGTAGTCAGAACCTCTGTTTTTGTCTCCAAAATGACGTTTACAGTTGGAAAGAGTCCAAAAGCTGAAGATAGACCGGCCATACCTCTAGTCGCGCTAATAAAGTCATCGTCTATGATTTGTCTCTCGATAATGTAAGCCGTTGTATTGATTATAACAACTGTCAGTGTGAGCATTGATGATGGAAGTACACGGCAAATACAAAATAAGATCAATCTAAGGGAGGTTTTGTGAGCCCGCGAGACTGAGCAGCCCCCACAAAACCTTATTTTCACTAAAACCACTGGACACAAAACCCCCACCGCAACCGCAGTACTCAAGTCGTAAACAACTGAAGTGAGAGAAAAATTTGTCGCGAACCCTCTTGAAACTCGGTGTGCGGTACCCAAATTTATTTGCAGTAGTGGTCGTCAGTTTAAGCAGGGTTTTACAATGCTGGTCGTAACTTGAAATAATTGTGTGGTCGTCAGTTCGCTCGACTGTAGACATTACTCAGGTTTCAGTACTGTCAACTTTATTCTGAAATTCACGCGTCGATATCGCACCCTATTCTTCATTTCTACATGGGTTTAGAGGAGATTCGCTGCAAAAGAAAACCAAGTTTCGACATGAAAAATCGAAATACAGGTACTTACACTAACGTGAAAAATTTTGTCGAGTTCAGTTCAATTCACGAATCTTTTCAATTTTCTTCTACATCGCAAGTGCCAGAAAAACAATTTCTAAATCTCGCGTTTTAGCTTAAACTTAGTCCTATGGGAATAAAAAAAGGGCGCTTGCAAAAGGAAACCGATTTGATGTTTAACAAGTTGTGTATAACAACGCAAATGAAAGCACCCGGTAGTATGGCGACAAGAAGAAAAAAAGGTTCGGGTTTCTGAAAGGAGACTCGGAATTCTTCTGATCGTTTTCTTTTTTATTCATTTTTCAGAAGCCCTTTGTTGAGCGAGTAATGGACAGAGTCACTTTACTAGTTTCATCGACAGAGAGATCTTTATCTCCTTCAAAAGCTGTTCTCCTTTATAAACAACTGTACGTGTTAAAGAACTTTCTGGAGTACAGTACAGTAGTAGCAAACCACATACGAGTTGGATATGCTGAAGAGTTTAGGTGAGTAAAAATTGTCTTGAAAGAAGTGTTGGGGGTTTTTAGACGCATTTGATTAAAAACAGGTTTGCCTACAATAAGAATTCGAAGTAAATGATAACCAACGGCCTCAATACATGAGCATTCAAAGCATAACCTAATTATCAACAAGCTAATACTTTAGAGAACAGAAATCAATTCTTTTCTAATGCTACGCAACTGAAGAGAATTTTCAATGCTTTTGAGACCTATAGCCTGCCCTGAAAGCTTGCCCTAGAAGATTTCGTTCCGTTGTTGGACATAAGGAGTTTTCCACTTTCGAAGGGTTCCCACTCTCTCCTCCCTTGTTTCTCTTTTTAGGTTTTGCTGCAAGTAAAACGTCCCTTTTTTTCATCCTCCCCTTCACCTACCCCTCCCCAAAGAGATGCTTTCAAAGCAGGATATAATATAGTTTGTTGTTCTTGATGGTTCTACCTTCACTATCGGCAACGTTGATACTTGACAGCTGAATTTAACGAACCTCTATATAACGAATATTCCAATCTACTCAAACAAATAGATCCAAATCGTTGTTATTAAGTTATACATTGGTAGGAGCTAACTACAATCGTGGACAAAAGTCTTGGGACACTTTTGCGTTCTTGGGATGTTTTCCAATTCAGAGAGGTCCAGCCCCTCCCCTCACCCCAAAAACAATGTTAGACGCGTGTATCCAGAATTTTTTCCGAGTTTCAACTTTGTATAGGGTGGAGGGATAGAGAACAGCAAGAAAATTTCGATAAGGACTGATGTACAGAAAAATATAAATATTACTTTCCTGTCCCAAGGACTTTTGTCCAAGATTGTAGTAATAGGCGGCTGACATAGGTAAATTCTAGTTGCACCCATCCTTTCCCCCCGGGCTAACCCCTGACATTACATTTCTTCTTTAGATGGGAAATTCCCTGATATTGGGACACTTCAGCTACCAAATGCCCCTCGGTGGAGACGAAGGAGGAGGACAAATGCCCTGCCTCTCGGATCCTCCCCACTCAACACTGCATCAGTTTTCGCTATTCATTAGTTGTGCTTTTATAAGCAATTAAGGCATGCATTAAATCTAAAGAATTCACTAGGAATGTCCAATTCTTTTCGACTTACAACCCAATCTGCGACGAAATGCTGATCCTGTCCGATAAGGTCCACCGTGTTTGGATTTCGAGTCGGAAACCACTTGTGTGCCAAAACCCCGGGGATAGCCCTGGGTTAAGCAAAAGCCCGTCCCCTAGGGCACGCTAATGTCCAGGGACTGACGAGGCATTCGAATGTCCTGCAGTTGCCCGGGAGTAACGGGCGCGGCTGGAATTGACTGAAGCGCTACCACGGTTACTTTAATATCTGTTGTTATTGTTTTTTCAGGTATTACATCCGAGAGCCAGTTGTAAAAAAGAAACTCCCTTGCAAATTTCCTCTCACGAAGCCAACATTAGAACTGCTGGAAAAAGTTACAAATTACGTTTTAAACAAGTCAATGATCAAGCAACCGTCATTTAGATAGTACAAAAGTAATTCTTAGAATATTTCAAAGTATTTAATACAAGGTAACGCTATAATACGTAATTTTAAAAGACATGACTGGCTAGCCTTACGCAAATTTATATATTTATATAGTTTAAATTATACTCCTTTCCACTTTTTTGGGAGGACACCCTTGTGTTAAGGAACAGGTTTGCTTCATGTGATTGGACTTCAATCTGGGCGTGACTCAAGCTTTATTTTACCCTTAAGCCTTTCACTTCTTTTTGTGTCTTTTTTACACACAGAAAATCAAGTTCTCCTTTTGAAATTCCTTGATGTAAATAACACTAAGAAAACGGTCTGACAAAGAGGTTTCATTTGAATGGTAACACAACAGCATTTCATCCACAGATCAAAAATTTGGAAGCGCACCTTGTCTCTTGAGTGGGAAGGCATACGCCTTCTGAGGAAAAAAATAATTTACACTTGTCGAAGCGATAACTTCATATGGGTTAGAATACTAGCATTCTGCACTGACCACCTTAAGTGGCACATATCAGAATCTGCAGTCACACCCTTCCGCGCCCTGTTCCTTTTACAAAGGATCTCCCCCCGCGTAAATCAGTCGCCCACAGCAGGGTTTCCATATAACCGTCTGGACCGTCTCCAAGGCCCGAATATTTTCAAAATATGTCCGTGCGGTCGAGGCGCTCATATGGCGACCGACGTGATCGAAATCGCAATCGCTGGCATAGAACTTGAGCGTATATATCGGCTAGTTTCAATTTAATGGCTCAGATAGTTTACGACAGGGACGAACGCGTCAATATTTACGTTTATCAAGGAAATCAGGCTCAATCAAAGCCGGAAACCAAGGGTAGATCATTTCCAGCATATGCGAATAGCCGTGCTGTTCTACAACTGAATCCACCCTAAAAATAACTTTGCAATTGCATCATACGTTTTGGTACATTTGCCTTCGCTCACAACTGCGACGAGAAACTACCTGATGTGATGTTTTACACAAACGTAATCAAGTGACAAAAATTTCTGTAGTTTTTTTCGGAGTTTGATGTGCTCTCTCAGTATTCCTACGTACCCACCCTCCTGACAAGGAGACTATTTATTCTTTGTCGGTGGTAAGCCAATGAAAGTTGATTGACTGTCAGCTGCAAACAAGCTCTCAAATCAGGGATTGAGTATGGGAGAGAGAAAAAGATAACCTAACATTTCTTTTTTAAAGTTTCTTATGTAATTTAATTGTTGGCTTATTTATTGAAATGAGGTATTTAAGAATTTTACTTGCTGTCGTATAAATCTTTAAAGCAGCTGAACACACTGTTGCATGAGCTTGACTGCTTCCAGTCGGTTAAGAAACTGAACCCTGAGAGGCTCATAGCAGTCTAACAAGTAAAAACTAACAATAAAGCTTAAGTTTGCTATGAATTGTCTGTGTTATTCATTTGTCTTTAAGAAATTTATTATCCCCTCAGAGAAAAAAAATGGTACCAATGAAATGTTTCACTGTCAATCAAAATTTCTGCTTAGCATACTCCCTAGTATGCGTATTGCTTATTGTAGCCTGTAATGTTAATCCAATCATAGATAGCCTGCACTGCATGCGTATTTTGGGTGGGCGAAACCTTGTTCATGTTCGTATCCCTTAGGGTAGGTGCGAGGGCAAAAGAAGGCAAGGGGCAGGAGAGGATGAGGTTTTCTGTTCTCTCTTCCCACCCCCTCCCCGCTCCCTTCGACTCACCTTATTTCCTCCTCTCTTCGGGAAGTTTCAAAATGGCGCTTTCGCAAGCAAAAACATTCGCGCGCCCGTAGAAAACGCCGGCACTGCAAGCTAAATCATAGATAATATGTAAACGGAAGATAACTATACACAATAAAACTGACATTATGTTTTGGATCAAAATGCTAACAAGACAAAAGAACGAGGTTTGCAACATTCGCTGTAAGTATTGTAGACAATTTATGCTTACTGCAACATATGACGTCATAATGACGTAAATGCCTTCAATATGTTAATCAAGTTCAGTATCAATAGTTATACCAGGACATAGATGTTGGAAATGATAGGCGCTTTCCATTCAACCCAAAATTCCGGTAATTTCGGTTGGTACATCAAATGGAACGGACCATTTCGGTTTGGTCCAACCGGAATATTCGGGACCAGCTTTGAAGGTGGTCCACTGTGACCGGTCTGGTCATTTCGGTCGGTCGGACCGAAATGTCCCTTTCCATTTGCCAAAATTGTTTCAAATTGTTGTCCCCAGTACCGCTCTTTTCTATCCTGCTTACAAGACCAAGTAGTTTCCAATGGAAAGTGAAGTGCTGTGAGTAAAGCATGACATCTCAAATAGTTTGAATCAGTTGCAATTTTTTTCGATTTTTGATGTTTGCCATTAACAGTGTGAAATAACTGACGCCACACGACACGTAGGTGAAAAAAAAGTGTGCGAAATCAAGCTATAAGTGTATAAAAGTCCGTGAGAATCAGCATTGTCTGAAACCTGTCGACGATATTTAACTAAAGCAATTTATCAATTAAGCTGAAATGAATACAACAAAGCCTCGCCGAATACAAATTGGCTAAAACACCGAATTCATTACCGTACAGTTCCAGGAATTGCTTCGAATCGTTCGAATATTCTGAGAAACGTATCGCTTCAATGCAAAAGAATTTTTTACCTCCACTTGCATTCATAAGCTTTCTACACGAAATAGGCTTCCTCCGCCTTTAGTGTTCCACCTCCCCTTTTCGACAGTCGAGTGTTCTTTAGGATATAAACAGTATTTACTTTTCTCTTTTAGAGCGTAATTATGAGTGTGCTGAGAAGCAGTGCCGTAGCAAGGGTAATATAAGTGGGGGGGGGGNTCAATTACAGAATAGAAAACCGACTATCTCTGTATCTTGAAACCAGCAAATGTTTCACCTTTCAGAGTCATCATAGTAAGTTTGTAGTTATTAAACTGTCTGAGTTGCCTTAGAGGCAAACGTAGACTTCATCGGCAGGTCGTTTTTTGAAAACTTCCCAAACAGTTGCTTGCGCCGCTGGTTGTCCCCCACAAACAAATTGGCGACCTCCACCATGCATGTCAATACCATCTGCCAATTCCTTGTGGACATGCAGAAGCATGAGGTGGTTGAGCCTGCCCTCTCTCGTGGTTGAACGCATGTAGGTCTTGCTTCGCTTTAAGGCGGAGAAGGAGCGCACGCTGGCGGCATTGGTAGCTGGCATGACGAGCATAAGCTTACCAAGGGTGCAAATCTCACTCAGTAGGAGTTTGTGAGCATTTCCAAGTGACTGAAAAAAGTCCAGCAGATCAGCGATGTCGAATCGGGAGGTGTCGTACCCCATTGCCTGCACTACTTCTGGAAGCAGGAACAGCTGGGCTTCTAGCTTGTACTGCTGCAGGTCAGTATCCCCGTACACGGCCATCACTTTCGCTAGGCTTTCGTTATTGTTTCAAACCCTCGAGAGATAATATTTTATTTTCAACATTTCATACAGGTCTGTTTTTACTTTTTAGGAAAAAAACTGGGGGGGCACGGGCCCCCCCGGCCCCTCCCCTTGCTACGGCACTGGAGAAGCCACAATAACAAAACACGCGGTGGCTTGGGTAGGGTCTGTGCAATCGGAATGTACCGTTCCATTGAGCACGTGAAGTTTCTGAAGTTTCAAACCGGAATTTTTGTTGAATGGAAAGCGCCCGATGAGTACATTATTGAGCTATTTTGAAAAAATAGCTCATATGTCAGTGGTTGAGCGTATGTATCTTCGTGGCTTTGTGGCTTTGTATGTTCGGATGTCTGTTGTAGGGGCCAATAAGGTTGAAGGTACTATAAGTTGATGCGTAGGAACCAATGAGATTTTGGCATCTAAACATGACATTTGCTAAAGTCAAACATGGGCACTTTGAGAACGCCATCTTGATTCGTCACAATTTTCTCGTCTTTTATTATGGCCAAAGGTGTTTAGAAGCACAACCTTGAAATATCTTTATGATTAAAACGCTGAGTAAAGTGATGCAGCTGGTTAATTAAGGATCCATATTTTAGTGTGGGTGCTGCTTCAAGACATTTCTGACCTAATTCGACTATCGCGAACGGTACAACGCACGTATTTGATAATTTAAGTTCTAGTTCACCTGCTTCAAGAGAGTATAAAAGATCATTTATTTTTCAAAGTTCGTCCAATGAAACAATAATAGGCCATTTCCGAGTTCCAAAAATACTCGCTTTCAAAACGAGGCTAATTGCGAAACCTTTCTTGTGAAAATGAGTTTTATTTTCATCATAATTAAAAATCATTTTTATATCAATGTCTTCGCACTAAGCCTCGCTTTGAAACAGAGGCTTGAGGCAACATGGACTCTAATAGGCCATTTACACGATGGCGTCATTTTACTACTACGACCAGAAGAATCCTTTTCGTTTTTCTTTTCATATTTAAATTTGGTAATCCCAGCGAGATTTAAATGACAAAAGCCGTAATTTGCACAAGAAAGGAACACCCTGAAGGATTCTGGTCGTAGTAGTAAATGATGCCATCGTGTCGTATGGAGTATGCGGCCTATAAATTGTGGTTTTAGAAGTTTCAAAGGTACGGCGAATATTGTTAAAGCTGTAAACAACCTTTATTCTGAAGTTATGAATATATGAAAATCATATATGTGAACTGCGGAGTGAAGAATTATATGAATGAAGATCATCGCAGTTGAATACGCAACTTTTGCAGTTGCGAAAAGAAAGCCTGAAAAAAAAATCAGGCTTGTACGGGATTCGAACCCTTGACCTCTGCGATACCGGTGCAGCGCTCTACCAATTCAGCTAACAAGCCAACTGGGAGCAGGTCATTGAATTGGTTCCTTATAAACCCCTGAAAGGATGATGATGAAGTTATGAATATATGAAAATCAGTATAAGTGAATTGCGGAGTAGAGAATTATATGAATGAAGATCTTCGCAGTTATATATGCAACTTTTGCAGTTGCGAAAAGGAAGCCTAAAAAAAGCTCTCTCGAAGCTCTCGCTTACAAAGTTCAACAGACCTTTTTCGTACAGGTAAAAAAACATGAATTGGGAGAACAAGTCAACATGAAACATGCTTGCTGCGAGTCATTATAGTTATTGAAACGTATTTTATTTAGTAGAGATGCGTAACTTAAGTAGAAACAGTAGCGTCAGGGAATTAAACTGGAAGAAGCTGGTTGACAAAATAATTACATATTATTTTATTGAGTGGAATAACATGATATGAATAGAAATATATTTCGGCAGTTTGACAATTTTCTTGAAAGTTAATAAATGTTAGGCTATTATCCTTAACGTTACATGAAGCATAATTTAATTGCAGATATTGTAAAGCCGTGGTGATTTCTTAAAATCATTTGAGCAGATTTTCTAGTAAGACAATTTGCGACATACGAATTGTAAAAAGAACAAAGTCCGACACCATCACGTGCAAATTGTGTGCATGAGTTATTTTTATAAAATGATCTTGTTTACTGGATTACTGTGTGATAACTCGAATTCCCTCACGTACAAACTACGAAAGGGGCAAAGTCCAACACTTTTAAGTGGAAACTATGTGACCAGAGGAGGAGTGAACGTCTTCCCACAATGCATTGCGATTCAAACTAGTATATCAACATTTTCGTGACTGTATATCTCATGCAGACTGGCTTTTCACAGTAATAATAGTAACTTGGATGTATGAAGACCTCTTTAGTTTTGTAATAAGTGCCTCAAGTGAAGGCTCTTTTCTTTTAATAATCAACAACTCATAACACTTTTAGAATCCCAGTTTAGATAAACGCAGTTGTGATTCGGAGAGGAGAGGCGTGAAATCAAGTTACCATGGCTGCAACATTTCTGCATCTCAACAATCTTTCTTCTCACATACGGCCTAGCCTGTGTAGCTGGCAGGATTAGCAGAAGTGCTGCATTTTTTTTGCAGCGGAGCTTTGTGAAGATTGGGATTTTCCCTCGCGGCTTTGCTGCACACTTTTTGTGACGGCTCGGCAGCCAGGAAAATACCCTGGGCACATGAATCCCGCCCGCTACGCAGGCTTGATACGGCCATCTGCATCTGCATCGTGTTTCTACATTTCCCG